GTAAATATCTAAACAAATGAATAATAAATGAAGGAAAGCATTTCAAAATGGAAGGAATGGTAGGTTATGCTCACTGTTGTCAATGTAGTTAACAATAAAGTAAATACGTCCAATTCCCCAAAGGCTTATAAAACCTCTATCCTCACCCTCAATGGTTTCAAATATTAGCAGCTGAATATGGTGAAACACCATTTTGCATTTTGATGGTCAGAGATGTGCAATTAGAGCAAGAGTGAGGTGGATACAGCTTCTAGAGATGTACTAAACCAACCACCATTTTCACTGCCCTGGGACGTAGTTTTGATGAAAGGGAACCAAATTAAAAAATTTTATGACTATAATTGACCAATTAGAACTTTCAAATTATTGGGGCCTGATCAGAAATTAAGAGGGTGTTTGGGTAAGAACAAAGCCATAGTTTCAGAAATGCTTTTACGGTATACGAAGTAAATATGTGGAGGAGTTTGTCTTGATCTGCGAAAAAGTGCTTCTGAAAAGTGATTATGGGGTGTTCCAAACACCTCCTAAGTAAACCTTCAAAACTCAATTCACGATTCTTCCAGTGTCTCAGGCCTGTAGGCTGGAGTAGCTTGGACATTTTGGAAGAGGTATAAGGTCTGTTGGTAATCTTATAACACGGAAGATTAAGATTCTGAAACCAAAGGAGTTTGCTTAGAAATTTCTGGGCAGGGCTAATGTAATTTACTCTTCAAGATTATATGTATGAACAAGAAAGGAAGAAACTTTGGTTTACGACCCAATGTCACACATTTATAATTTCATTGGAATTGTAGACTAACCCTTTTTGAAATTAAAGTAGCAGAAAATTTAAAACAAGCCTACAATTAATACTGAAACGCATTGCGGATTTAATTTGAGTTATGAATGGGTTAACAACATACCAGAGAAAATTTATCTTTTACACGTTTGCATGCGGTCTTTTATTCCTAAGCTCTTGATTGTTGAAAGTGAACTTTCTATTATTTTAATGTGTTACAACTTTCTTTGATTTCCATTGCATAGGCCATATTGGAGGTGCTACTTTCCAAATACTCAAGCAATAATCTATGTTGTTGATTCAAGTGACACTGACAGACTGGTGATAGCTAAAGAAGAATTTCATGCAGTTCTTGAGGTATGCTATACTTGGTTTATGTTCCACACGTGCAGCATTTCTCTATGATGTCAACTCTTGCCTTCAATCTTCTTATCAGTATTTAGTGCTAATGGGCTTAAGAATTCTGGAAAATTTGTAGTTCATGGAAGTAGATATTCGTAGTGCACAAAAGTAGCTGTCTCTATGTGTTTATTAGTGTTGAAGACGCTGAAATTCTTATTTTATACCAAAACAGATGCTATGATACGTAGCGGTGGTAGACGACAGAAAATTAAATGATCAACTTTACCATAAAAGGAAATAAACATATAATTAAAAAGGAAACATGAAATAACATGCTTAAAGGTGATGGCAACACACTGTCTCAAGGAGTAAAAAAAATCATCTTCTTAAGAACCGGAACAAATATTCCATAATACTTGATGTGGAATTTTGGCATTCCATCCCGCCCAATTCCTATTAAAGGATAGTAGAGCACGTTGAGTGTGAAATAAACATGCTGTAATACATAGTCTCAGGAAATATGAAATAAAAAAGGAACATAATAGGAATTGGGCGGAATGGAGTGCCTAAGTTACACATCAAGTATTATGGAATGTTTGGAGTAGTTCTTGAGATGATTTTTCACTCCTTGAGACAGTGTGTTACTGTCGCCTCCTTGAGTCTACCAGTTGATTTCAGAGCTGGTTAGTCATTGGCACTTTATAATGGAGGTGATCAACAAGAAGCTAGAGTGAAGAGTTGCGCTAAGACATCATCTCTTGAGGGGCAGTTCTATGCTCGTGACTTGGTGCTTAGTATGGGACATCTAAGTTTCACATTGAGTAATATGTAACTATGAAGTGTTCGGTGTGGTGCTCAATGAGAATGGTTCAACGTTGTTGAAAATGCGCTTTTACCAGGAAGAATTTCACCATGAAACTTCTTTCTCCAAAACACAAGTTGCAACACATAGACGAGCAAGCCACAAAAGTTGACCTAATCAATCCTCAACTTAAAAAAGAATAATAAACATGCTACATAAAGCCTGATGAAACAGGAATAAAAAAGGGAAACAAAACACTTCGGTTCCAACCACGATATACAATCATGATTGGGCCAGAGAATCATGTCTCATTAACAGCGCATATCCGATTGGTTCTTCCCAAGAATTTTAGGATGCCAACAAGTGGAAATAGAGTCTAACAAGCATGAATAGGAGTTGTGGGTGCATCCGTATGTGCATGCCTACATGCACGCCTGACTTTTATGGTAAAACTAAAACAAACATTGCGTATCCAAGTAATTTTTCTAGACATTTTCGTTATAATTTGTCATACTTTAGGTGGTTAAAAAAGAAAAAAAAATTATTGTGCATTACCATGTATTCTCTCTCCCACTCTGACATAGGCTCTTTCTTTTCCCCCCTTCTCCCCTCCAACCCCCCCCCCCCAAAAAAAAGAGGGGAAAAGAAAAGAAAAATTACCAAAACCAATTTCTTAGTTTCTTTCTTTCCCCTCCCGTCTAATGCTTGCTTAATCTTTGTGCATGAAGGCAAATAGCAACCAAACTGGGCCATGGTACGAGCATAAGAATGGGATTCTGTTTTTGTACTAAGAAGCTCTGTAGTAATTGACGTGGGATTTTCTGGTTGAGTCTATTTCTGACAAGAGCTCAAGGATATTATTAATTGATTTGTGTGCTTGATTAACATTGTGACCCAAATATGATATACATGACTTCTATTAGTAATTTAGTCATTTACATTTGAAGTGTTGGAGAGATCACTGGTAAGGATCTTAGCAGAGCATCATGTGGTATGATATGAGATAGAGAGTTTGCAAAAAGAATATTTATATTTTTTCTAATAACAGTGTTCAAGAGTTATCATCAAACTTTGTGCCGCCTTTTATATGGAAAAAATGGGTAATGAGTTTATCCCCCTCTTATATGGAAAAATATGGGTAATGAGTTCTAACTTCAAATGTAGAGATTGTTACCTTTACTGCATCAATGAGTAGGTTAGCAATCCCAAGACATGTATTAACAATTAGAATGAGAAATTTCAAGCACTAATATCAACTTCTTCTTCAACTATCACATTATGCATCTAAGCTTGGAGGAGTCTTATAGCAGTATTTCCCCCTGTAACATGTGTTACTGTCCTGCTTATCACTTTTATTTATTCTATTTAACATTAGCGACTATCACGAAGGAGTGCTCGTTCTTGGTTGAAAGACTATCAAGCAAATAACAGTACTGCATGAGTAATTTCAGCTTGGCAATATTGAGTGCTATGGTGCTTAGTTTGTGTAGCTGAGAAATGCAATACCTGTACACAATTACATTCACCGCACTGGTCAATATCATCTTTAAGTTAATGTGAAAATGTAAATTCATACATTTTTTAGTGGATACTCTTTGGACATAATTGTGGATTATAATTCCTATGTTGGGATATATTTTTTTCTTGTTTCCTGGTGTCCTTTCCCACTAGTCTACGTGACTGGTTAGGTTGCTTGTGGTTGCAATTTACAAGCTTATTGAAGTATGACTAATCACTTTATGGGATCATTTTTGTCAGGAGGAAGAACTAAAAGGTGCAGTTGTTCTCATTTTTGCCAACAAACAGGTCTGAACTTCATCTTGGTCTTAGCTTGTACAACTCTGCTATCCAAGGAACATAGAAAACATTTAAATGGGTTAGAAAGCTGATAGTATTGGTGAAAATCCTTGCTTTGTTAAAAATATATTTCTATTAAATTCTTATTTTCTTTTCTAATTTTCTCTCCCTGTACAGGACCTTCCTGGTGCCCTTGATGCTGCTGCAGTGACTGAGGCTTTAGAATTACACAAGATCAAAAACCGCCAATGGTCTATTTTTAAAGCTTCTGCCATAAAAGGTGAAGGGCTTTTTGAGGGCCTGGATTGGTAAGTCCAATAAACTTAAGTAATACTATCTGTTTTGATTTTTTTTTTCCTTCTTTTTAACCAACAATAGTTTGTAACTTGCATTAAGTACAACCTGTTTTGAACTTGTAAGATACAAATTGATAGAATTTAGTCTACAAGTCTGAGTCCTTCTATGAGTTGAATTTGGAATTATGAATGGAATGAGATACCTGGTAATATGTCTTGTACCACCCCGTTGAAAGTACTGTAATAGGCATCTTGAAGGAGTATTCAAATACAATTTGCTTATAGATGAAACAAATGGTTTATGGATAACATACATTTCCCTGGCAGAAAATGTAAGGGCAAGTTTACCTTCTTCAGAAAATATAGTAGCGCTTGCAGGGAGCATATCAAATGAAAGTAGTCTGTCTTAAATGAGAGGAGTAAGTACCATTAGGGTGGTTTGTTGAATTTAAGGACGATAAAAAAATAAAAATCGTTTTGTAAGATAAATGGAAATGTCAACTTGAAGAAAGATATGTCAATGACTTAATTTGCTTTATTTATTTATTTTCCCTTCTGTTGCTTCTTTCTTTCCTTTTTCTGGTTGCACTTTTTGGCTTGTTCTCTCGTGGTGTTAATGTATGAGCTGCCTGTGTGCGTAGGTTGAGTAATGCGCTCAAATCTGGAGGTGGCTAAGCTTCAAAGAGTCTGATGAACTTGGACTCGAGAATTAAAGGAAAAGGTTGACATATGCACTCGGTATGACTTTCACATGAGCGATCGATTTCTTGACACTACGATGGTCATTCATTACTCGTATACATGTACTTTATTATCTTCCCTATTTTATCTACTTGTGGTGAAGCCGTGAAGGTTTGGACATTGATCAGTGGTTTATTTTTGGGCCTCTTAACATAAATTCTTTTCTGATATGCGTAATCGACATTTGTGGAACCGTTACTTATGCGCTGTTCTGCACCGTATCCCTACTGGAGAACCAAAATTCATCTCATCTTTACTTTTCTTCATTAAATTTCATATGGTGTTTGCCATATGCCCAGGTAATCCATACGAAACTGTACAATGTTTGGAAAGATGTTTTTTGTTTATGGTATAGAGCCTTTTATTTTATTTTATTTTATTTTTTTTGCTTTTTCTTTTTCTTTTCCCCATTTTGTACCGAATCATCAAGTATGGTTAAGCCAGCGAAGATTCCAAATATTTAGTCAATTTTTTTTTGGTCCAAAAATATTGAAGCAATTTGGCCGCTTTAGCCATACGGTTTGATTCTTGTGGGTAATTCTTCGTTCATGGAGAATAAACAAATATAGTACGCTTTGTCCTTGTGTCAAACGCAATTAAATTGTATGCCATTTCATGTCGAAAATCAATGAATATGTATTACAATTGACCGATGATTTACCCTCTTCCATTCTTTTTATAAGAAACAAATAAGTAATTCATCAAAATTAATAAGATATAATCCATTTCAACTTTTGTATTTATTATTATTTTTTGAACTAATTTAAGGAATTTATAAATTGATATAAAATTTAATGTTATATAGAAGTATTTTAAGTAGATTATGTTACATTTATGCCATTAACTATTTTATTTGACTTTCTTGATCTACTTAAGTAGATTTTTATATTAAAAACTATAGATAATAGTTAAAATCAACAAATTTGTTAGGAATGTGAATTTCTTTCCAAAAATATCCTCATTTTTGTAGTTCACTGGTTACTAATAGAAAGTGAAAAAAAAATTGTAATAAAATATCGTAAACAAGTCCTCCAAAGATTTTCTTATATTGTTGTATCAAGAAAAAATTATTGTTATTTCTGAAGCTCAGGCCCAAATATTCATTATTAGGGCGAGTAACTTTTCCACCCTTAGACCAATATCTTATTCAATTCTGCCCTTCCAGAGCTGCATATGCAATATGTCTTTTAACTTCTAATCTAATAAATTTAGACAACATGTTTAAAATAAGACAAATGAAAAGAAAATAAGTAAAGGATGAGGCAGCTGAGTGGGAGACCTGATTCTGATTCTGATTTAGTTTCTAGATTACACATGAATATAATAATATTTCATCATCTTTTCTGCTTTCCTTTTCCCACTTCTATCTTTTGCCTTGTGCATGAATCTTATGCTTCTGGGGCCCTTTAAGAACTGCTGACATAGTCAATTTGGAGCCTCCACTCAATGGAAAATGAAAGTGCAATTATATACTACCTTCGGTCTCAATTATAAGAGCCAGTTGACTAATTTGAGGAGATTAAGAAAGTAAGTTGAGTTAGTTATTTGTCCTAAATAGGTATTATCTTTTCTAAATATCCTTACTAATCAAGTGTATTAACTAGAATTATAATTATTAGAAGGACTATCTTGGAAAAAAATTAAGTAAATATAAGAGACAAGGTGGATTGAGGTCTTATATTTAGGATTAAAATAAAAATCAAACAGGGTCTTATATTAAAGATTGGAGATAGTATTTTGATAAACATTCTCATTTTTACCTTAAAATGAGATCTCAGCCGCTCCATCCATCACAATACGTAAAATGAATCCTACTTTCGTTATAGCAATATACCCCATTCATACTGTCGTTTGTTATTCACATTGGACGAGGATAGGCATCACATCGCTCTCATTTTGACCCCATGGTATTGTATGAGTAGAAGGTTATGAATTTGATCCCGTTATTACCCTATTATATTTATAACCTCAAGCCGTTATGTTCCATTTAAATGAGAAAAAAAAGGTTGGAAAAAAAGAAAATTGGAGTGATAATATTATTACTCCTTTTATTTGAATAGACGAGAAAAAACATTAAAAAAAAAAGAAAGAAGAGAAAACGAGCAGTCATATTTTTAAAAAATATTCCCGTTTTTATTTTAAAATGACTCATGTTTGTTATAGGAATCTACTCCAACCCATATCATACTATGTACCATTTTAAAATGACTAGTGTCCATTATGAATATCTACTCATATGCACGGTCATTTGTCATTACATGGACGAAGATAGGCATCCCATCGCTCTCATTTCATTAGTAGTTATGTGGCTAGTAACATGGAAACTTTTTTATGAGGGAGGTGTCACGGGTTTAATCCAATATATGAGTTTCATCTCATTTATAATTTTAGGTTCTCTCATTTTCCTCTTTCTGCTTTTCTTTTCAAAATCTCACATCCATATCTAAATAAAAAGTGGATGATTTGGATTTAATGTTTTTTAAAATTATAATTATAAACAAATATAAAATTAAACTATTAAAGTTTGAGATGCACGGTTCAAAAATGCATTATGAAAATATATTAAAAAAATAATTCATAAAATATTATAATGATAGTTTTATAAAATATTAAATCTGAACTTCTTTTTTTTTTTTTTAAAGTTTTAAGAGAGGATGAGATTCAGCAGAAAGAAGAAGAAAACACGGTCTGCTTTTTCATTAAAAAATATGGGGAAGAAATTAAAATGTGCGCGGATAAATTGAGAGGGCTGAGACGTGCAGGATCGTATGGTATTCACTGTGTTTGTTTGCCAATTAATTTTCGGATTTAAGATTAACAATAAACGTGTTCACATGTGATTACTTTATTTCATACTATGTGAAAACGTGAATTAATAGCTAATTAAGATTCGCATTGAATGATGATGACGTGATTGCTTGTTGTTGGAGGCCACTGATTAAGTTGTGTTTATTATTAATCCAAGTGATTAATCTGGGATTGTATCTCATCAGAGTCATCAGAGGTTTCAGTCAGCATAAGAAATTGTGTCGAAGAACCCATGAGTTTCAGAGACATTAAATTAGCGGGTCACATGTGGGTCCCAGTGGTACGATGAGATTGGGCCAAAACTTGTTTATCACGTGGAGGAAGATAACTAATTTATTAATATTTAAAAAATTAGTTAAGATAATTATTTATAATAAATAAATTTTTTTTAAAAAATAATTTTGTTAATAATGTGAATTAAAATCCTATTTTGAAAAAAAAATAAATATGTCAGATAAGGCGAATTAGAATTTTACTCTTCTGGTCTATTTATAAGTCATTTCCAGTATGTTTGACACAGATAAAAAAAAAACTTCAAACTTCATTAACTCTTATTTAAAATTCAACAACTTTTTAACTTTATTTCTATTTAATATACATTATACCTTATATAAACAAAGTCAACGTAATAATAAAAAGTATAAAATTATACATCTATATAAAAAATTTCTCTTAATGCCCTATAAATAGGATAAAAAAAGTCTTCTTTCTCTACCTTATAAATAGGACCAGGGAGTATATCCTATGATCTCATTTATAAGTTACTTTCAACATATTTCATATAGACCAAGAAAAACTTTAAACATGATCAACTCTCATGTAAAATTTAGCAACTTTTTAATTTTATCTTTATTTAATATAGATAATATCTCATATAAATAAAAATCAACACAATAATAAATTAAGAGTAAAATTTTACATTTATATAAAAAATTTCTTTTATTACCCTATAAATGGGACCAAAAAAATATCTTTTTTCTATTCTATAAATAGGATTAAAAGAATATTTATTTAGGATTAAATTGAACATCTAACTAACTCTTTAAACAAGAGTAGTATTCTTTCGGTACTAAATATAAGATACACTTTATAGTATAAATTACACTATAAAGTAAATCTTATATTTAGTATTTAGTATATTTAGCAAAGACAAAAGAGTATTACTCCATCCGTCTCTTATTATAAGATTTAATTTTTTGAATATGTTTGTCCTTTTTTTATAAGACTTTTTTTTTGAGTTTTTTCTGAAAATTTAATACATTATTACTTATTTTACTCCTAATTTAATGCATTTAATATATTATTTTTCTTCATTTATTTCACTATTACTCTATCATATCTACCTGTTTATATATGGATATATTTTAAAAAATTATATTTGTTACATATTAATTATTTTTAACTAATTTTAATTATTTTTTAAGTCGTAATATAATAAAGATAGAATGATATTTTGTTTGTATATTTTAATTCTCATCCCCCCACGTAGAGAAACCAGAACTGTTCCTTTCAAGGCATTGGTACATTTATTTGCGCTTGGCGTGTTCTGCGTTTGCCCAATTTCAGTACCTTCATATGATAGTTCCCACGTGCCACGTACTCACTTCGCTTCCTTCCTCCTACCTTCGTTCTACAAAGTCTTATTCATACTTGTTTGGGATGATAATTAGACCCTTCAAAAATATATTATTTTTTATAAAAGCAAATAGTATTATTTAATTTCATATTTTTATTTCTCCGCTCAAACGGTAAAATTAGGAATTGATTAAAAGCACCCTACAACTTCGCAACGCTTTTTTATTCAACCAAATGATATCCTTGTTATCATAAAATTTAATACTTCCATTGAATCTCATATATAAGATAATTTTCCTAGAAATAATAATAACTTGTCTGAAATTTTTAATATTTTTTATTTTTTTCCTTTTTGGTTATTAGTTAGTCTTATTGCATTATTCACGCTCACCTTTTCACTCTCTGTGAATAAGAGTGTTTCTGAAAAATGAGTTACATTTTTTTTTTTTTACACATGTATCATTTTTAACTAATTTTTTTATCCATCTAATTTAGTTAGTTTTGTCTTATTAATTAAAAGTATAAGTGTTGTGATCATGAGAATGCATGTGTGTGTGTCAGTGTGTGCGGGTGATAATTACATGGGCGTATGTTTACGTTTTTCGCTGAAAAAAATGCTTAGGTCTTTTATATCAAGTTGGCAAGATCAATCCATCTTCTTCTGTATCTATGCTTAAAAATATAATATTTAGATAACTAATTTAAAAATATTAAAAAAATTAATTACGTTAATTATTTGTCATATAGGTGTTGTCTTTTCTGAAATATCTTCATTAATCATGTGTATTAGAATAAAAATCATTTAACATGATTATCAGGAAGACTAATGTGAAAAAAATAAA